CTGGTGCTGTGGAGGAGGGGGAGGGCGTCACCACGGAAACACGGGAGCAGTCAGCTGACCGTCAGCAGTGACGACCAAACTGAGACAGAACAGGGAAACTAACCCGTCCAGTCTTGGTCTTTGAGAGAGGGGGCTGGCTGCATCATTATCTGAATGAATCTCATGAATAGATAGTTACACAAGTCTTAATTATCTGCACAAATATGATCCGAATGTATTAAAACAGTCCAAAGATCTTCTGTTTTGGGAGTTTGGCTCAAAGCGATGAGCTTAGCTGATTTTATACCCAGTCCAGACACCGTCACCCACTTTTTGCACTAACATTCATTATCTGAATTAATCTCATGAACAAATGTATAGCACACAGTATTCTCAGCTTTGTTCTTTATCAATCCAGATTCCACCAGCATTCAGCTTCTTCTATGTTCAACCAACAACGTCAACAATCTTGGTCGGTGGAAATAGGGGTACTGACTCTAAAAACTGTTCATCTTCAGTGTCCTGAACTTTGTACTCTTTTTGAAGCAATTTCTGTTAAATAATGTACAACTTGAATCGCGCGATTTGTGTTATAATTCAACATTAACGTGTTATTTGAAATTTTATTTGTGTTTACAATGTTTTCTTCTGTACCCATATGTGATCCCCTTTAGTATCTGTATGTTTTTGTTTGCAGTTTCTTTGATGACTTTGACTTCATTACTGTGACAAACCAATAAAACAGTCAAAGATTAAGGAGGCTCTTTTTCATTTTTGGTAATGGAAAAAAGGCGGGAAATATGATCTCTGCTCTCAGGGCAGCAAATAATTTTCTAAATCACTAAAATGTAAATTACTCTAGAAAATGAGAACATTTCTCAAGAAATCTTAAGGGATAGCCAATTACTGCCCGGTCCAGGAACCCGGGGCTAGCTTCCTCAAAAACAGCCTGGGAGCCTCTAGAGGGGTTGGACACTGAATATTTGGGATCTTTATAATGTGGGTTTGCGCCTATGAGAGGGCCTAAAGGAGAGAAACACAGAGCTGGAGGGACCTGGCTGAGCTCTGGGGCCTGCCGACCAAAAGTCGTTGGGGTGGGCAAGACGGGGGTCACATTGGCTGAAAGCTGAGAAATAGACCTAAGCAATGATGTAAGACACTCCTGGGTAGAGCAAACGGGTCCAGCTGTGTTTCTGTATGACTTTTAACATAATTTTGGCGATTCGTGCCTCCGGATTCATTACAGTTGTCCACTCAGTGTGTGGGAGGCATTCTGCCTCTGGACCAATCGCTCATAAGCACTGAGGCCTTCATGCCTTCCATTACAGGAGGTATAGACATGTATTGTACTTCCTGTTTGGGGAGCAAAGCATTCTGGGTAGTGCAGTCTTCCAGCTCACCAGCACTTTACATTCCAAACTTGGCAGATACACATGTGTATCTAATTAGAGGAGCCAACTGACATTCTGAAACTTCTAGTCAAAACTTCACCCCGAACTCCTGACCGCCGTTCAAACACGATAAGAGATATCTGAAAAGCTCTTGAACCGTGAGCAACACGAAGGATAGCGGACCAACCCGGATGCTTCACATTTTAGCTGCCCCCACCAGTTTGTTTATTAATAGCAGTATCAAAATGAGGTCCATTGTGGTAGTAGATTAAGTTTTCAGACTAATCCTCAATTCTATCCCAAAGGGGCCCCATGTGGAGGGTCTAGATTCTGGGCCCCTTTGTCGGAAAAATGTAAGACTGTCACAAAGGTGTGCTGGTTGAGGGGTTTTCGTCTCATCTTTTTCTAGTCTCGTCATTTCCTGTTTTATTTTGAAGAATAACCCTCATCTCGTTTCAGGTCACTTACACTTCCTGTTGTGTCACCAGTCTGAGCGTCTCCCTGATTACCTATTGTCTGCACCTGGGGATCCCTTCCCTCATGTGGTTAAATAGTCCTTGTCTCCCTTTGTCCCGTGCCAGTGTGTTTCGTTCCCAACCACAGTGCCTGTCTCGTCCACAGTTCCCTAGTCATAGAAACCTTTCATAGTTCCCGTTCCTTGCCTTTTGAGCCTCCTGCGTTTTTGCCTCTTTAAGAGTGCCTTTTCGTTTTGCCTCCTAGATGATCATTCTCTAGTGAGTATTTTGTTGCTACTTTGTTTCTGTCTTTGCCTCCTCGTGAGAGATTTACGTTGTTACTTTCATCCGTATTGTTTTGTAACTTTTCCCTTAGCCCCGTTCCGAGAGCCTCTTTCTGTTGTACTTTGTCCTCCGTTTTTGGAGCGTTTTGTGTTGTCATTTTGTCCACTCCTTTTGAGTGCGCTTTTTGTTAATAAACTTTGGATTTTGAAACTAGCTCTGCTCCTGAGTCCTCGCTGAGTCCCTGAGCCTGACAGTACACACTGGCCAGGATGGACTCAGCAGAGCTAGCCCAGATTGCCGCCGCCATGAGAGAGCAGGAGGCGCGGATTCGCCACCAAGAGGAGGGTCAGTCCTCCCTGGCGGCTCACCTCGGCGCCCTGACCGACCAGCTCCAAGATCTGGTGGAGCGACTGCCGAGCAGACCCACGGCGGCGACGCCCCCGGCCGAGGACCCTCGTCCTCAGGGGCTCCAGGTTATTGGTCCTCGGGTTGCGCAACCCCCGAGCGCTTTGCTGGCGACGCTGGGCAGTGCAAGCCCTTTTTGACAGACTGTGCTATCCATTTTGAATATTCACCACAGGCTTTCACCAGCCACGGCCGAGTGGTCCCGGAACTCCCCCACCTGCCACAGCCTGGCTGCGTTCACCCAAGCCTTAAAGACTATTTTTGACCCGGTGAACACTGACCGAGAGAAACCCCAGCGGCTAACGGGACTAAAGCAAGGTACGGGCAATGTGTGCGATTACGCAATCGCTTTTCGCACTCTGGCAGCGGAGAGCGGCTGGAACTCCACTGCCCTCTATGACATATTTTTGCAAGGGTTGGCGAACCCCATTAGGGAACTGTTGGTCCCCTTGGACCTCCCTTCTGACCTGGATGGCCTGATTGCCTTGGCCCTCCGGACCGACAACCGGCTCCGGGAGCTCCGCCGGACCTCCCGCCGGGAGAACACCACGGGGAGATCTCCGCCCCCTCCGAGGCAGGCACAGCCCGCAACTCCTACGGCAGCAGCAATCCCGGGTCCCGCCCCTGCACGGGCGGAGGAGGAGCCCATGCAGCTCGGACGGGCCCGCCTCTCCCCGGAGGAACGCCAGCTGCGCCGCCAAGAGGGGCGGTGCTACTATTGCGGTGCGAAGGGACATCTGGTGGGGGTGTGTCCGAACCGGCGACCCACCTCGCACATTTCCGTGAGTACCGCCCACTCTAAGCCACGCCCCCGCACCATAGTTCTAGTGTCTCACCCAGCAGGACGCTCAGAGTTGGGGGGGTTGGTGGACTCGGGAGCGGACGAAAGCTTTATGGAATGGGTTTGGGTCCGTAAACTGAAAATCCAGACCCGCCGACTCGAGTCCCATCACCGCCCGAGGTTTACACGACAAAGAACTGTTCCAGATTACCCACTCCACAGAGCCCGTCCACATCCAGATCCAGAACCATTATGAGACCCTGACCTTTTATTTCATCCATTCTCCTTGCCATGCAATAATCCTCGGCTTCCCCTGGTTGGTCCAGCACAACCCCCAGATCGACTGGCGCTCAGGAGAAATTACGGCCTGGGGGGAGGAATGTGCCCCTCATAGCGGCCTCTGCCGCGGGGCCGCAGCTATTAACTCTGTTCGAACTGCTTCTCCCCCAGGTAACCACGACCCGGCGCTAAGTGCTGTACCACCATCTCCGGGAGGTTTTTAGCAAGGCCAAGGCCCTGTCACTCCCACTGCAGAGGCCTTATGACTGTGCCATCGACCTCATCCCTGGGTCCACCCTCCCTAAGGGGAGAGTCTACGCCATTTCGGGTCCCGAGAAGGAGGCCATGCGGGACTATATTGAAACCTCGCTGAAGGCTGGACTTATTCGCCCGTCCTCTTCTCCGGTGGGGGCGGGGTTTTTCTTCGTTGCCAAGAAGGATGGCTCCCTCAGGCCCTGCATCGACTACAGCCCTTTGAACGCCATAACCATAAAGAACCGGTACCCTCTGCCCCTCAAGTCCTCTGTTTTTGATCAGCTCCAGCAGGCTCAAGTATTTACTAAGCTGGACCTGAGGAACGCCTACCACCTGGTCCGCATCCGTGAGGGGGATGAATGGAAGACTGGTTTTAACACGCCCAGCGGGCATTATCAATACCTTGTCATGCCTTTCGGGCTCACTAATGCACCAGGGGTTTTCCAAGCCATGATAAACAAAGTCCTTCGGGACTTTCTCGACCTTTTTGTGTATGTTTATCTAGATGATATTTTAATTTACTCTCCTGACCTAGACACTCACCGTAAGCACGTGACCCAGGTGCTGGAGAGACTCCTGAAAAATGGTCTATATGTCAAAGCGGAGAAAAGTGAGTTTCATGCCACGACCATCTCCTTCCTGGGCTTCATTGTAGCCCCTGGTAAGGTACAGATGGATCCGGCTAAGATTAAGGCTGTCACTGATTGGCCCGAACCGGATAACCGCAAGAAGGTTCAGCAATTCCTGGGGTTTGCTAACTTCTACAGACGGTTTATCAGGGGTTTCAGTGGTATAGCGGCTCCGTTGCACGCATTGACCGCGCCCAAGGTCCCTTTTGTCTGGTCCCCACAGGCTGATGCAGCTTTCCGGCTCCTGAAGCAGCGCTTCACCTCAGCCCCCATCCTCATAGTGCTGGACGTTGCCCGGCAATTCATAGTGGAGGTGGACGCCTCCAATGATGGGATCGGGGCGGTCCTGTCTCAAAGATCCCCCAAGGACGGCAGGGTGCACCCCTGCGCGTTCCTCTCGCGACGCCTCACCTCTGCTGAACGCAACTACGACGTGGGCAACAAGGAGTTGCTCGCTGTTAAGGTGGCGTTGGAGGAATGGCGCCACTGGCTGGAGGGGGCGAGCCTGCCATTTGTGGTCTGGACTGACCACAAAAACTTGGAGTACATCCGGCAGGCCAAGAGAATGAACTCTCGTCAGGCCAGGTGGACCCTATTTTTTTACAGATTTTCTTTCTCCATCTCTTACAGGCCGGGGTCGAAAAACGTCAAGCCCGCTGCTCTTTCCAGGTTGTATGACCCCGAGCCTGTTGCCAAGGATCCCGAACCTATCCTTCCACGGTCCTGTGTGGTCGGAGCGGTGACTTGGCATATAGAAAATGCTGTTAAGCGAGCTAACGGCGTAGCTCCACCACCTAGTGGGTGCCCGGAGAACAGACTGTTTGTCCCGCCTCCAGTGCGCTCGCAGGTGATTCATTGGGCTCACGCATCGCCGCTTTTCTGCCACCCGGGGATCTGGAGAACCATGTTCACCATCTCCCCGCGGTTCTGGTGGCCATCCATGGAGGCGGAGGTCCGGGAACATGTTGCTGCCTGCCCGGTCTGCGCCCGTAACAAAGCCTCCAACCGACCGCGCTCCGGACTGCTCCAGCCACTACCTATTCCCTCCCGGCCCTGGTCGGACATCTCTATAGACTTTGTGACGGGTCTCCCAGCGTCTCTGGGAAACACCGTGGTTCTCACTGTAGTGGACCGTTTCTCTAAAATGGTTAGATTCATAGCCCTGCCTAAACTGCCGTCCGCCAAAGAAACGGCGGAGGTACTAATGACACGTGTTCCGCATACATGGGTTCCCGAGGGACGTGGTCTCAGACCAGGGACCCCAATTTATTTCTAGGTTTTGGAAGGAGTTCTGCGCCCGGATCGGCGCCAAACCCAGCTTGACGTCGGGCTACCATCCAGAGGCTAACGGGCAGACCGAGCGGCTCAACCAACAACTGGAGACCGGCCTCCGCTGCCTGGTGGCCCAGAACCCGGCGACATGGTCCAAGCACCTGGTCTGGGTCGAGTTCGCCCACAATTCTCTGCCGACGTCCGCCACAGGTTTCACGCCTTTTAAGTGTGTTTATGGCTATGACCCCCCTCTGTTCCCAGCACAAGAACGCGAGATCATGGTTCCCTCAGCCCATGCCCTTATCCGCCGGTCCCGCCGCATCTGGGCGGCCGCCTGACTGGTCCTCTCCCGGCAGGGGGACCGGGTCAAGAGAGCGGCGGACCGTCGACGGAGACCGGCCCCTGAATACCGGCCCGGCCAAAGGGTGTGGCTGTCCACGAGGGACTTGCGCCTGCGGGGTGAGTCCCACAAACTGGCCCCACGCTTCGTGGGACCCTTCCCCGTTGCCAAGGTCGTCAACCCGGCAGCGATGAAACTGTGCCTCCCGCGGTCCCTCCGGATTCACCCAACATTCCACGCCAGGAAAGCCCCTTGGTCCCCCCGACGCCCGCCCCCCCCCCCCCCCCGCCCCCCGCAGGAGGCCCCCCCCCCCCAGTAAAGAAACTCCTGGCTGTGCGCCGCAGGGGCCAGGGTCGGCAGTTTCTAGTAGACTGGGAGGGGTACGGCCCGGAGGAGAGGCTCTGGGTCCCCTCCCGGCACATCCTGGACCGCTCCCTCATTGAGGAGTTCTACAAAGACCATCCTGAAGAACCTGGGCCGTCAGGAGTCGGCCCTTGAGGGGGGGGGTTCTGTCACGAAGGTGTCCTGGTTGAGGGGTTTTCGTCTCGTCTTTTTCTAGTCTCGTCATTTCCTGTTTTATTTTGAAGAATAACCCTCATCTCGTTTCAGGTCACTTGCACTTCCTGTTGTGTCACCAGTCTGAGCGTCTCCCTGATTACCTATTGTCTGCACCTGGGGATCCCTTCCCTCATGTGGTTAAATAGTCCTCGTCTCCCTTTGTCCCATGCCAGTGTGTTTCGTTCCCAACCACAGTGCCTGTCTCGTCCACAGTTCCCTAGTCATAGAAACCTTTCATAGTTCCCGTTCCTTGCCTTCTGAGCCTCCTGCCTTTTCGTTTTGCCTCGTAGACGATCATTCTCTAGTGAGTATTTTGTTGCTACTTTGTTTCTGTCTTTGCCTCCTCGTGAGAGATTTACGTTGTTACTTTCATCCGTATTGTTTTGTAACTTTTCCCTTTGCCTCGTTCCGAGAGCCTCTTTCTGTTGTACTTTGTCCTCCGTTTTTGGAGCGTTTTGTGTTGTCATTTTGTCCACTCCTTTTGAGTGCGCTTTTTGTTAATAAACTTTGGATTTTGAAACTAGCTCTGCTCCTGAGTCCTCGCTGAGTCCCTGAGCCTGACAAAGACCAAGGTCAAAAGCGGGTACTTCAGCTCAAAGAGGACGCCCCCGCTACGTTTTGAGGCCTTTGGGTCCTGCTCTGCTCTACAATTTGTTTATGAGTGCCAGGAGTTAAATTTTTTGGGGGGTGAATTTCCCCAAGTGGCCAGTTAGAGGCTGTGATGATGTCATTAGAGTGGAAGAGATTTCTGGATTATTTGGATTTTTGCTCAAACTTCAAAAGCGATTGCGGCCAAACGGTGCGAGATCGGGCCTTGTGGCTCCTACGTGTCGGAGGCCCGTCTTTCATGATCCGTTTTATTCTCGAATGAGGTTTCGCGGAGGTAATTGGGCCGAGCAATTACACCTGGATGCTGCTTATGTTTTGGGCCAAGGATTTCAGCCTCTCCATTCATCTCCTGTGGCAAACGTCGAATCAGCACTTTTAACGTTTGTTTGGAATTCATTAGAAAACACAAGGACTAATGAGAGAGATAAATACAGGCCTGCATCCCATGGTCAGTCCCCACCAATGTTTCCGATTTGGACGTGTTCCCACACACCATGCGGGACCAGTTAAGCACTGAAAATTGTGCTGGAAGCGGAAGAATAATCGGCTGAATAAAAATGTACAATAGTAAAAGATGGGTCTGCCACTGGCAGTGCCCCCCCCCTAAAAAAAAGGTAAACAACAGTGAGAATGCCTTTGAAAGTAAAAATGGCGGAAAAGGATCCCATTGAATACAAACAGTTGAATAAGAGAGTCACTTCTCCCTGTCCAATGAGAGAGGAGGTGCTCGGTCAGCTGACAGCTGCAGTGTAGAAACTGGGAGGAATATATAGAAGGAAGGAAAGGGGAAAACTCAAGTGTCTCATGTGACTCCAGTTGAAGCAACTCTCTTAGTGCACTCAAAACCTGTCTGACTGCTTTATTCCAGCCTGAAAACAGATGGACCTTAACCTGCCTGGTGACACCCTGCTGAGGCTGCTGATTGGTTCTCTAGCCAGAAATGAAAGAACAAACAGCCAAGAGAAGGAAACAGACGTGTAAAAGAGACGATCGACTCTGATCAGCTCATTTATCCAGATGATTCTCTTCCAGCTGGTGTTTGGAGCTCGGCTCTTTGTCCCGATGATGAGTTCAGGTACTGAGATCCTGCTTTAAACAGCCATTTCTGTCACTGGTTTCTTTTGCACACTAAAGAACGACACTGTGAACGATCTGCTGAGCTGTTCCTGATGCTAGTCAGGCTTCTCTTTTACCTATAATTCTCTGCTCCTTTCAGCCTCTGGACGACACTCACTGTGGTTGCTGTTGTCTTACATCTCAGGACCGACCCCGTTCCCAGAGTTTACTGTAGTCTATATGCTGGATGACATCCAAGTGGGCTACTGTGACTCTGAGACTGATCTCAGACTGATGAGGGTTGGTAGTGGAGGGGAAAAGGAGGAGGACCTTGTCCTGGACCAGGAGGCAATAAATATACGGGAGTTTCTTTTCTCTTCCATGAGAAAAAGACTGACCGCGGCTAAAGAGCAGATGAACCTTACAGCCTCAGGTGTCCACGTCCAGCAGCGGCTGACAGGCTGTGAGATTCTGGACGGCCAGCCGGCGTTTATCATGTTTAGGGATGCTGTTAACACCCAGGATGCTGACAGCATGCAGTACAACATGACGCACTTCACCTACGCCAGAGGAAACAGTCCAGTGTTCCAGTGGGATGCCGTGAGGCAGACGTATGAACAGATGATCGCTACAAACCTGTTCCTTCCAATCTGTGTTCGGATTCTGAATCTCCTGCTGGAGAGTGAGAAACACCTGGTGATGCGTCGGGTTCGGCCCCTAGTCCGCCTCCTGACGAAGCAGGTGGTGGGCGGGGCTCAGCTCACCTGTCTGGCCACAGACTTTTACCCTCGCCACATCAACCTGACGCTGCGGCGGGACGGGGATCCGGTGGACGCAGACAGACTGAGCGGCGGCTTGGTGCTGCCCAATGGGAACAGCCTCTACCAGATGAGGAAGACGCTGAGCATCGATGAAGAGGAGCTGCAGAGGACGCACAGCTACACCTGCACAGCGTCTCACCTGAGCCTGGACAACCGGCTGGACGTCAGCTGGAGGGCCGAGTCCTCACGCTCACACAGAGTCCAGGTCCTCTCTGGTCCCCTCATCCTGATGGTGGCTGCTGTCATCCTGCTGCTGGTGCTGTGGAAGAGGAGGAGGGCGTCACCACGGAAACACGGGAGCAGTCAGCCGACAGTCAGCAGTGACCACCAAACTGAGACAGAACAGGGAAACTGACCCATCCAGTTGTGGGCTTTGAGAGAGGGGGGTGGGGGCTGGCTGCATCATTATCTGAATGAATCTCATGAATAGATAGTTACACAAGTCTTAATTATCTGCACAAATATGATCTGAATGTATTAAAACAGTCCAAAGATCTTCTATCTTTGGAGTTTGGCTCAAAGCGATGAGCTTAGGTGGAAGCTGCTTTTATACCCAGTCCAGACACCCTCACCCGTCACCCGCTTTTTGCACTAATATTCATTATCTGAATTAATCTCATGAACAAATGTATAGCACACAGTATTCTCAGCTTTGTTTTTTATCAGTCCAGATTCCACAAGTATTCAGCTCCTACTACTGTATGTTCAAACAACAACGTCAACAATCTTGGTCGGTAGAAATGGGGGTACTGACTCTAAAATCTGTTCATCTTCAGTGTCCTGAACTTTGTACTCTTTTTGAAGCAATTTCTGTTAAATAATGTACAACTTGAATTGCGTGATTTGTGTTATAATTCACCAATCATGTATTATTTGAAATTTTATTTGTGTTTACAATGTTTGTTTCTGTCCTCATATGTGATCCCCACTAGTATCTGCATGTTTTTGTTTGCAGTTTCTTTGATGACTTTGACTTCATTACTGTGACACACCAATAAAACAGTCAAAGATGAAGGAGGCTCTTTTTCATTTTTGGTCGTGGAAAAAAGGCGGGAAAAATTATCTCAGTTCTCAATGCAGTAAAATAGCTTCTAAACCCTCTAAACTGTAAGTTACACTAGAAAAACCTGTTCTTGAGAAACAGCTGTGAGAAAACCATCCATCCATCCATCCATCCATCCATTGTCCTCCGCTTATCCGCGGTCGGGTCGCGGGGGCAGCAGCCGGAGCAGGGAAACCAAGAATTCCCTCTCCCCGGCCACTTCAGCCAGCTCCTCCGGGGGGATCCCGAGGCGTTCCCAGGCCAGCCGGGACACATAGTCCCTCCAGCGTGTCCTGGGTTTTCCTCTGGGCCTTCTCCCGGTGGGACGAGCCTGGAACACCTCCCCAGGGAGGCGACCAGGAGGCATCCTGATCAGATGCCCGAGCCACCTCAACTGGCTCCTCTCCACGTGGAGGAGCAGCGGCTCTACTCTGAGCCCCTCCCGGATGGCCGAGCTTCTCACCCTATCTCTAATGGAGAGCCCAGCCACCCTGCGGAGGAAACTCATTTCGGCCGCTTGTATCCGCGATCTTGTTCTTTGGGTCACTACCCAAAGTTCGTGGCCATAGACGAGGGTGGGAACGTAGATCGACCGATAAATTGAGGTTTTTCTTCATCACGACAGACTGGTACAGCGCCCGCATTACTGCAGACGCCGCACCGATCCGCCTATCGATCTCACGTTCCCTACCCCCATTCGCGAACAGGACCCCGAGGTACTTGAACTCCTCCACTTGGGGGAGGACGTCCGCTCCGACCCGGAGAAGGCACTCTACCTTTTTCCGGTGAGAGACCATGGTCTCGGACTTGGAGGCACTGATCCTCATCCCAGCCGCTTCGCACTCGGCTGCGAACCGCTCCAGCGAGAGCTGTAGGTCCCGACTTGATGGAGCCAACAGGACCACATCATCTGCAAAAAGCAGAGATGCGATCCTTAGGCCACCAAGACTGACACCCTCAACACCTCGGCTGCGCCTAGAAATCCTGTCCATAAAAGTTATGAACAGGACCGGAGACATAGGGCAGCCTTGGCGGAGTCCAACTCCCACCGGAAAGGGGTCCGACTTATTACCGGCAATGCGAACCAGACTCTGACTCCGGTCGTACAGGGACCGAACAGTCCGTAACAAAGGGCCAGGTACCCCATACTCCCGGAGCACCCCCCACAGGATACCCCGAGGGAACCCTAACCCTTTTTTACTATTTTTACAGAATTACTTTTACAAGATGGTATCACAATGTATAGTAATAAAATAAGCAACACTGAGATTATCAGATTATATCTTTGAAATAATCTTCCTCACTCCAAATTAGCATTATGAAAATATCCTGTGTGCTTTACATAGTAATTAGCACAAAAAACAAAACCTAGAAAGAAAATTATACATAGTTTTCTATGTATAGCTAATTACCATAGCTATATGTGCAGAGTTAATATAATTGTTACAATTAATTAAAAACTGGGGAAATTAAAGTTTTAAAAGTCAATGCTAAAAAGGAGAACAAACATTTTTATCTTATAGATGTCTTTGTGATGTCAGCCTTTGATGTTGGAAGAATAAGAAGACTTTATTGATCTTTATTGAGAAATTCAGTACAGCCCGTACTAAGATCAAACAAACAAACAAACAAAAATTTAACACATAGACACACCATTTCTGGAAGACTTTGGGCAGCCACACAGGGGCAAACCGTTTTTCTTCAGAACAAAAATACATCAAAGTGGATGCGGGAAGAGGGGAAAAAAGGCCCAGTGCCACACCCCCTACAGGGGACGTAACAGTGATTTTAAAAAACACCTCAGTACACTAAAGCACAGATACAGTCAAATCACAACATCAAGGACACATAGGGAGCCAGGGATGGGGGTTGGAAGGAAGGGGAAAGTTAACAGAGAGGCAGTGAGTCCAAGTAATGCATGAAGTCTGTACTTGTGTGTGTGTAAGTGTAAGCAAGCTGGAGTCCACATCCACAGGCAGGATGGAATTTATCCTTGTGATGCCAATACTCCTGCTTGGGAGGAGGGAGGGGTTGGGGTGAGCAAAGCGTCCGTCTGCAGTTTCATCCAGGGCAAAGTTGTAGAGTAGCAGCTGCGAGGCCGCTCTCGGGAGGCCAGATTGAGATAAGAGAGATAGCTTTGTTCCAGACAGAGCGTGTTTTGTCTGCCTTAAGTCCTCAGCAGGTCTCTCGATGGCGATCCAATTCAGCCGAATTGTGTTCATTTCCCTCCATCCGAACCACCAACTTCTCCAAGGTGTTCCCCATCACCTTCATGCTGTCAGATATCGTCCCCATTTTGCTCCTATGAGCCCCCTGTTTGCTCCACTGAGTCTCCAGTTTGCTCACCAGAGCATCGTGTTTGCGAGACAACTCGCACAAGGTTTGAGTCAAAGTGTTGATGGCCCGGTAAACCGGCTCGACAGGCAGCTTGCCACCAGTTGCCATCAGCCTCCGAATTTCTCGAAAACCTAGGTATCCACCAACTCCAATCAGCAGGAACCCGGTTATCATGAATCCAAATAGGTATAGGTCCTCGACGTCCACCACGGAGAGAACTGAGAGGCATAAAACCCTCCAGCTCTTCCAGGCATCCATCGTGTAACCCGCAGGGTGAGTCCCGGCTGGACAAGTTGCAGCCCCCGCAGCTTGTCTTTGGGTAGAGAAGATTTTGTCAATTGCGTTGAGAGACCAGCCGACCAAATCCATGGTTGATGTTAGGCTTTAGGAAGTGAAAATGCAGAGGCTCTGAGATACGACAGGACAGAGATAGCAAGCAGGCAAAAAGGACAGGGGAGGGAGCAGAGAGAAACACGTCTGCACTCGCCGAGAGCCGGAAGAAGGGAGAGCTTGAGAGCTATCATCCTGCAACTTTTAGAAGCACCCTAACTCCAACAGACCAGGGTCAGCTCTAAACGGGCCTGGTAAGGAGCCACTCATCTGATTTAGGTATATTGGAGCAGGGATGCATCATAAAATTGCAGGATGGTAGATCTCAAGGACTGGACTTCAGCACCCCTGCTTTAGACTATTATAATGTACTGAGTTCTACTCCAGGTCAAGGGCTTTTACAGACACCTACTACATAGTTTAAAATAAAAAGTATTCAGCAAACACCATGAAAACATATATTGTTGTGCTGACATTGCCCAGGTTAGTTTTAGTATTTGAAGAAATTATATTTTGTCTATATTTTATTGAAATTCTGTGTTTTATCCAGAGGACATGTTTTGTCTCTCTTCTCAAGAATCACTGATATCCATCTATCCATCTATCTATATATAGACCTATATATAGATATATAGATCGTGTGGTACCGAAAAGGTAGACATGGCTGTGTATATATACATTAATCTTCCTTGTGATTGTATCTGGTATCATATTTCCCAGGTGGCTGTAATCATATATGCCATGAATGTGCAATTTATCAGTTGTTGTCTAAGCAACTGTGACATAACCGTGACCTGAAGGCATAACCAGTCCGTAGCAGGTCCCGCCACGAAGGTTTTGCTGGCTTTGATAATTCTCATGTTTCAGCATCATTGAACTGTCAAATAAAGAACGATTCTGTATTTTTAAAGATGGTGTTAGTCCTAGCCCTGCCATGAATCCCCGTACGTTCTTTATATAACAGTGACACCGCTAAACTAGTGGCGTAGCGGAATGAAGTCAACTTTAGCCTGATTAAGTTGTATAGTCTAGTTATTGTCATTTAAAAAATGGTCGTCAACAAAATAATTTAGTTATCATCATCGTTACCGAAATTAACCTTGCATCCCCCGCCTCGTCACTCTTTCTTTAAGCAAGCGAACGGATGTCTGAGCTACCTTTTCTTCCAATGGACACGATTCATATTTGACACACTTATCATAAATGAAGCTAAAGATATATACATATTACCAAGCATACAGTATTTATGGTGAATTAAGATTATTTACCTGTTTCGTGGGAGTGTCGAGTGCTACTCCAAAATGAACCGCTGTCCCAATGTGAGGGAGGGAATGTAAAGGCGTGGGAATCCAAAAACCTTTGCGAGGCGACGCAAAAGTATTGCGAGGGAACGCAAAAGAAAAAAAATTCCCCGGGAACGCAAAGGAAAAAAAAATTCCCCCATGTCCCCTAGGGGGCCCCGTAGTGAAGGTTGTGGATGCAGGTTGTTTTTTTTGTTTTTTTTTCATATCATATTGTAAAGGGTATTCTTAAACTTCCCAGGGGCTTGCCTTTAGTTCATTCTACTTTAACAAAACTTTTAGTATTAAGGTTTGTGTCTTTTATACTTATCTTCTATTTTGTTTTAATTTCTTATGTCTTTAAAA